TGAAGGTCCGTGGCAACCCTGTGTGGGGCAAGTCGGTGGGCATCAGTAGTATTTGCTCACTTTGTGTCTCTGTGTCACGTGTGTGTAATTCTCACAGTATTTCAGGCTTTCTTATTATTATTATATTTGGTATGGTGATATGTGATCGTAGTATTGGATGTTACTACTGTGATTGTTTGGGGGAACATGAACCATGCCATGTTCCCGTGCCCCACTGTGAGATGATGAACTTAGTCGACAAATGTTGTATGTGCTCTGACTGCACCAGAACTGGCTATTCCCCCCTTGCTCTCCCTCTCCTTGGGCCTCCCGATTCCCTGAGACACAACAGTGTTGATTAATAACCCTCCAATGGCCTCTAAGTGTTCAAGTGAGGAATTCATACATCTCTCACTTTCAATCAAAAGCTAGAAGTGGGGGCACCTGGGTGGCTCAGTCGTTAAGCATCTGCCTTCGGCTCAGGTCATGATCCCAGGGTCCTGAGATCGAGACCTGCATGGGCTCCCTGCTCAGCGGGAAGCCTGCTTCTCCCTCTCCCACTCCCTCTGCTTGTGTTCCCTCTCTCGCTGTCTCTATCTCTGTCAAATAAATAAACAAAATCTTTAAAAACAAACAAACAAACAAAAGCTAGAAGTGATTAAGCTCAGTGGGGAAGGCAGGTTAAAAGCCAAGAGAGGCCAAAAGCTAGGCCTCTGGTGCCAAACAGTCAGCCAGGTTGTGAGTGTAGAGGAAACGTTCTCGAAGGAAATGAAAAGTGCTACTCCAGTGAGCACACAAATGATAAGAAAGTGAAACAGCTTTACTACTTACATGGACAAAGTTTTAGTCATCTGTATAGAAGATCAAACCAGCCACAACATTCCCTTAAGCCAAACCTAATCCAGAGCAGGGCCCTGACTTTCTTCAGTTCTGTGAGGGCTGAGGGAGGTGAGGAAGCTGCAGAAGGAAAGTCTGAAGCTCGCAGAGGCTGGTTTATGTGCTTTAAGGGAAAGAAGTCTTTTCTACAAAAGTGCCAGTGCTGATGGAGAAGCTGTAATAAGTTCTCCGGAAGATCTCGCTAGGGCAGTGAATGAGGGTGGCTGTGCTAAACAACGGATTTTCAGTGTAGACAGAATTCCCTTTTTCTGGAAGAAGATGCCCTCTTGGTCTTCAGTGGCCGGAAAGAAGTCAGTGCCTGGCTTTATAGCTTCAAAGGGCAGGCTAACTCCCTTGTTACGGGCTAACGCAGCCAGCTGGTGACTTTAAGTTGAAGCCAATGCTCACTCACCATTCCAAAAGTCCTAGGGCCCTTAAGAATTATGCTAAATCTACTCTGTGCTCTGTAAATGGAACAAAATAGCCTGGATGACAGCACATCTCTTTACAACACGGTTTACTGAATATTGTAAGCCTACTGTTGAGACCTACTGCTCAGAAAAGAAGATTCCTTTCAAAACCCTACTGCTCATTGACGATGTACCTGCCACCCAAGAGCTGTGATGGAGATGGACGAGATTAATGTTGTGCTCACACCTGCTCACACAGCATGCATTCTGCAGCCCATGGAACAAGGAGTACTTAAATAGTGCGTTTTGTAAGGCTATAGCCACCAAAGAAAGTGATTCCTCTGATGGATCTGGGGAAGTAAACTGAAAACCTTCTGGAAAGGATCTGCCAATGTATATGCCACTGAGAACATGTGGGATTGATGGGAAGAGGTCAAGTGTCAACATGAGCAGAAGTTTGGAAGACACTGATACAACCCTCTTGGATGACTTTGGGGGTTTTGAGACTTCAGCGGAGGAAGTCACTGCAGACATGTTGGAAATAGAAGAAGAACCAGAATCAGAAGTGGGGCCTCAGGATGGGACTGAATCACTGCGATCTCATGATAAAACTTGATCTGTTGAGGAGTTGCTTCTTACAGATGAACAAAGAACATAGTTTCTTGAGATGGAATGTTCTTCTGGTGAAGACCCTGTGAAGGTTGTTGAAAGGGCAACAAAGGATTTAGAATATGACATAACCTGAGTTGATCAAGCAGTGGCAGGGTTTGAGGGGATGGACTCCAGTTTTGGAAGTAGTTCTGTGGGTACAGTGCTATCAGACAGCATCACATGGAACAAATCGTTCGTGAAAGGAAGAGTCCATCGATGTGGCGAACTCTATTGCTGTCGTACTGTAAGAGCCTGCCATGGCCACCCCCACCTTCAGCAGCCACTGCCCTGACGGGTCTGCAGCCGTCCCCATCGGGCAAGACCCTCCTCCAGCAAAAAGACTACAGTTCGCTGAAAGCTCGCAAGATGGTTAGCATTTTCAAGCAATAAAGTGTCTTCTCATTAGCGTGTGTACATTGTTTTTTAGACAATGCTGCTGCATACTTAATGGACTACAGGGTAGTGTAAACATCACTGCTGTATGCGCTGGGAACCCCGAGAGTTCATCTGACTCACTTTATTGTGATACCCGCATGATTGTGGTGGTGTAGAACTGAGCCCGCGGGGTCTCGGAGGCAGGCCTGTCAGGTCTTTTCCCGCTCAGCACTGGTGCTGAGAACCACCTGTGATGGTTCTCCCGCCATCATGCCTTGGCGTCGTGGTGCTGCGCTGGGTGGGCAGACCATCGTGCACTTAGCTAGGACCCTACAGATGAGCATGTAGTTCCCAGTGGTTTGCTCTTACAAATACCTGCAGTGAATAACCTTGTACATTTATTTTCTGTCTGGGGAGGTGTGAGGGTTTTTAGTATCGTTAGTAGCCCATGATTTCCACATATCTGATGGGTTTCAGCTCATTGTAGGCGTTTACTTTAATGAGCAGTTTTAAAGATTAGAAACATATAGAAAATATAATTAAGATGAACATTTCAGACTACTGGCTACACCCAAACTTGAAGATCAGCAAACACAGTTCTCCAGTTGGTCATCGTGTGTGGTGCTGTTTGCTGGCCGAGTCTGAGCGTGCGCGTCAGAAGGAACAACCGTCCTAGGAGAGTGCTGTGCCCCAGACGCTCACCCCAGCCTGGTTTCTCCTCGGTGGACATGGAGCGGACACTCCCTCCCCAGGTGGGAGCGCCTCGTGCTCCATGACCTGCCTACCCAAGTCATGTTCGTTCTGCTGAGGACCTAGGAGGGGCGCTACATTTCCCACCAGGCCTCCCCTACTGCCCTCACCTGTGGTGATGTCCATAGGACTCTTCTGGAAACGCACCTGGGAATTCCTGAGACGTCACGAAGCAGGGCCCAGCTTTGCATTAAAAAACCATGTCCAGCCCTCAGTCCCTACTGCACACACTTATGTGTGTTTATAAATACTTTTGACTTAAGAGCAATGTGGGGTATATATTGGATGGTAAAAAGATATTTATTTTGTAGATTCAAATAATTTCTCTACAGTAGGTAGAAAAGATTTAGTAAATTTCAAATGTAATGTTACCATTAAATGTTTTTGTTGAACTCTAAATAATGAAAATAGACTTGTATTCCTTCTTGGTGTTCTCTTGTTTTCAAACAGGTCTAACTTACAGACAAGATAGAGACTAATATAATGAACACCATAGACCCAGTTTAGCGTTATTTTTTCAGGTAACCTCTATGCCCAACGTGGGGCTGGAACTCGTGACCCCGAGATCAAGAGTCAGACTGAGACCGCCAGGCGCCCTCACCGTTTAGCTTTGTTAAGTCCAAACGCTGTCAGCTTTGTTCCAGATCTTTGTAAAAATGAATCACTCATTACAGATAGAAAGAAACGAGGCCCTTTTCTCTCCTCCCTGGTCCTGTCCCTCCGGTCTCACACTCCCTTCGTGCCGCTTGAACTTCAAGGACTCAGAGACTCTAAAGCCCGTCACCAGGGATGTGTATTCGCGGCCTGGCGCGTTCCTGCCCCCACCGGTGTGGCCAGTGTGGACGTGTCTTTCTAAAGCAGGCCAGTGGGAGTCAGCAGGAAGGGATCTCAGTGAGGCTGTGGCATCTTTGGAAGTGTCCATTTTGGGGGCACCCGGCTGGCTCTGTTGGTAGATCCTGCGACTCTGGGCCTCGGAGTCATGAGTTCAATCCCCACGTTGGGCATAGAGGTTACTTAATAAAAAAAAAATTAAAAATTAAAAGAAATGTCTGTTTTTAGCCACGTTTAGAGAATTCACGAGTGTCTGTACCCTGAGCTCTGTGCGCAGGGGCAGGTGACGGCCTTGGGAGCTCCGCGTCTGCCCGGGGCGCCCACAGGCCCACGTTCTCACCGTGCTGACAGTTACGTTCTTGCTGTTGTTCCAGGCAGAGGCCCCGGCCTGGCCCTAGTAGGCAGGTGCTCTGGGGACAGTGACACAGACTTTGAGTGTCTGGCCAGCCCCATGGTCCCCAGCAGCCCTGCTAGTTGTAGGCTGCAGTTTTGTGGGACCTGAGGTTTTTCAGGAATGCAAGTGTTAGAGCAGAGATGTGATGCTTTGAATTCAGTTACCTTGTTATTCATATGTGATGCTAAATAGTTCTATTTTCAAAAGCTATGGTAAAAATTCTCTTGATTTTATGTGCTCTTTTGTTAAAGTTGGAAAACCACTAAACTCTACCTATGAAAAGAAAAGGTAATTTTGTATTTTTTTTTAGATTTTACTTATTTGACAGAGAGACAGCGAGAGAGGGAACACAAGCAGGGGGAGAGGGAGAGGGAGAAGCAGGCTTCCCGCGGAGCAGGGAGCCCGATGTGGGGCTCGATCCCAGGACCCCGGGATCATGACCTGAGCCAAAGGCAGACGCTTAACGACTGAGCCACCCAGACGCCCCAATTTTGTATGTTTTTAAAAGCATCTATTATATCCAGAACAAAGAGAATTAAATCTCTGTACCAGGAGGTAAAGCTATGAATTGGAGATTCGTGAAATTAAAACAATTTGAGTTTCTGTGTACATCAATTAAATTACCATGCATATTAATTTGAAGTTGCGATCCATTTGCTGGTTGCATAAAGGCTGGGAGGATTAACTGTAAATGTGCTATTTGAACTAACCCATGTCTCTACGCTGCCCTGCAGTCTGGTGTTTGGAAGCCAGCTGGACATCCACTCGGGCGGGGTCGATCTGGCCTTTCCGCATCACGAGAATGAAATCGCCCAGTGTGAGGCTTTCCATCAGTGCAGGCAGTGGGGAAATTATTTTCTGCATTCTGGTAAGTCATGACTTTGTGTTAATTTGTTCTATTTCGGTTCTGTCGATTTTCTTTATTGGTGAAACCGCTGCATTTGCAAACGCATGGCTCCAGTAGGTGAAGAAACAGAGTTGGCTCTCCCAGCGTTTGAGTCTGAAGCAGCTGGATGTGAGCCTCTCCGGATCGGAGTTACGAGTGTGCCTTTTTGGAAGAAGTGCGGACTGAGTGGAATGTGGGAACATTCTCGGTGCGGGGGTGGCGGCAAAAGTGTACCGTGTGGCGGGCGGTGGGCTGCCTGATGTTACACTTCTCTCGGGTTCCCAGGACCGTAAGCCCTGAGGCTGCTTGGCCCGGGGCGCGCCCACTGCTGCGTTTCCCGCACCCCAAGCCCTCCTGGGAGGCGCCCCCACGGTGACCGCCATCTCTGAATCAGACCTTGGTTCCCTGCGACGCAAGGCCCACGACTGCGCTGCCCACGGGAGTCTGGGAAGAAACAAAGCAGAAGCGGAGCGGGCCCAGTGGCTGCTTCTGGCATCGTATTTCCTGGGGGGAACCCAACAGTGGCTGAAACCCTGTATTTCTGCCAACAATGCGGCTTGCTGGCAGATTCCTGAAATAGGGCGAAAGCCTGATGGTCCCGGTTCCACCCGGGGCCAGCAGGGTGGGCGCTGCGCAGGGGCTCCAGAGCTGACCCCTGGGGCCCGGCACATGCCACTGTCTCCCTCTGGCATGGGACTGGAGGGGAAGGCACCTGCGGCATAAATGCGCACAGAGCCCGTCGGGCAGAGACCCTCCAATGACCGAGGCGCCACGCCCCGTCCCGTCTCACACGCAGGGACACGGCACCCGGATGAGCCGTCGGGCACACCTGCCGTGGCCGTGCTCCCGTGGCACTGCGTTCTCCTTCATCTCCTTCATCCCATGGCCGCCCGGGGCTGGGGGAACAGCTGTGTCTCCTTCCTGATGTAAAGGATGCAAGAGAAGTCGTCAGATGGGTTTCATTTTCCAACGACTGTCAACTTAAAAAATGTTTAATTGTGTTTGGTGTGGACATGTTACATTGAAGTGCGTGTTGAAGGTTATATTTCTGTTTGGAAGCCACATTTTCACCAGTTCTCGGAAAGCTCGTCCGTGGAGCCCCGTTGTGCTCGATGTCCTACCGTGTTAGGAGAGGGGGCCCCGGAAGTAAACCATGTGAACGTACAGCCCAGGGGAGCCCCGCTGGGACTGAGAAGCCCCGGACTTGGGTCCTCCTATCTTCCGTACGTGGGGGTGAAGGAGTGCCAGGCTCTCGAGAAGCCCGCGGAAACGGACTGCAGCGGGAAATTGAATCCGTCCTTCTCAAAGACGTGCAGTTCGGAACGTCCGAAATCCAGTGGATATTGCTGGGTGCCTGGTTTGCAGAAGCAGAGTTCTGGCCTCTGCTGGGCTGACGAGGCCTCAGGCTGGTGTTTCCAGGGCGCAGGACGGGGGGCAGGGTGGCACGGGGTGCCGGGGGGGCAGGGCGGACCCCACGCCCTCCAGCAGGTGCGGTTGTGGCTTCCCTCCTGGGGGTCACTGTCCTATAGCAATGCGGACGTGGGTGTTTGCCTCCTGCAGAGCGAGCGCGGCGTGTGAAGCTGACCCGCAGCCCCAGCTGCTCCCCCCTCTTCCACCCAGTTCAGAACAAACTACTGTTTTTGTTTCAGGGCATTTGCACGTGAAAGGCGAAGAAGAAAAAATGTCCAAATCACTGAAAAACTACATTACCATTAAGGTAACGGGGCACCGCTGACCTGTCCGGAGGGCTGCTGTGTGGGGCGACCCCAGTCTCTGATCGCCGGTGCTCCCGGCCCTGACAGGCTTCTCCTCCCGCCACGTTTAACTTACTGTTTCTCGTGGTAAAAGCGCGGCGGTATCCGGCATTCTGGTTCTCGGCCGAGTCCCCTGCCCCCCGTGGGCCGGCTTCCCCACGGACGTCTGCCTGTCCCCTCCTGCGTCCGGACGCTCACACCACCTTCTTCCCTGGCCTTGGCCCACACGGCTACCCTGAGTCCCGTTTACCCCTTTTCCTGTCCCAGCGCCCGCCTGCCGGCCTGTGGCTTCATGACTTCGCTGTGCTGTGGGGGCGGGGGCGGCGTGTGAGTGTCCACATGAGCGGAAAACACGTGAACTCACGGGTCGCTTCCAACACTTCGCTCATCTTTGGGCCCATAAAGCCAAATGTAGTTTTAATTGCAAATGTTAAAATGCAAGGCCAGTTACCAGACCCTCATCCCCTAAACACGCAAGCACTCGAGCTGTTCCCACCAGATTTACATACAGTCGCCCCCTGTGCGCGGTCTCGCAGACGTGGTCTCACGGTCACGGTCTCACAGACGCGGTCCGGGGCCGTGACCGGCAGCCTCGCGCTGCGTCCCGAACCTGCGTCCGTCCCCTCAGCTCCCCTCGTCATGGGGGCATTCGAACTCTCTCCTCATCACCAGAGGGGCTAGCACCGACAGGAAGGTATGTTGAGGGAGAGGGAGACCACATCCCAGTAACTTTCATCACAGCATCACGGTTGTATGTGTCCTATTGTCGTCGTTAATCCCTGTGCCTGCAGTATAATTAAATGTTCTCAAAAGCATGTTTGTCCAGGAAACCCAGAGGCTTTGGTCCTGTCACATATTCAGGCATCCACAGGGGCTGCGGAGCGTATCCCCTGCGGATGGGGGCGCTGGAAGCCAAAAGGGGAGTGCCCCTCATAAAATAGTCTTTATATGCTTTTCTTAACTGGAAGTGTTCAGTGTTCTACACATTTTCCTACAGAAGAGTTAAACTTATATACTTGCCACAGATTCAAGAGTTGTTACTTTGCTACCTTTACTGCTTCTGGGGTACTGATGGGAGCGGTGGGCACATAGGCGTGCACGGTGTGTACTTTATCACCACGGTTGCTGAGCCATCGGACATCATGACACTGCCCCATTCTGCGTGCTACTCCCCAAAACAAGGACGTTTTCCTGTGTAACCCAGATGCCAAAAACGTCAGCACTAATTCCTTAACATCACTGACTCCTCAGTGTTCGGATTTTTCCATGTGTCCCAATGTCTTTTATAGCCTTGGTTTTTTTCAAACCAGGATCCAGTGAAGGTTCCTGTGTTGCATTTCTATGCTGTGTCTTCTTGGGCCTTTCAGAAGGTATTTTTCATTGTGGTGAAACACAGAACATAAAAGTCACCGTCGTAACTGTTGTTACGTGCACGGTGCTCGCGTCATTGTGCAAGAGAGCTCCAGAACTTCCTTATCTGGCCAAACTGGACCTTTCCCCTGTTGAGCAAGTCCCCGCCGCCCCCTGGCGTCCGCCAGGCTGCTCCCTGGTCTCGTGACAGACGGTGAGCACTCTGGGAAGCGCATGGAAGTGCAGACACGCGGCATTTGCCCTTTGTGACTGGCCTGTTCCACCCCGCGTGATGCCCTCCAGGTCCATCCGTACCACAGCAGATGGGGGGAGACAGGAGCTCCTCTGTGACTGGGTGTTTCTGGCTTCTGATCCACAATAGTCTCTCTCCTTTTATTTTCTGTGTGGTGTTGACTTTTTGAAGACATGAGCCCAGTTTTGTTGAACATCACGCATTTTGTATTTGTTTCTCTGTGGTGTCATGTAACTCGTTCTTCTGTCTCCCGTTCTCCCCGTAGCTGGAAGTGAGGCCTCGAGGCTTGACTCAGGTCGGGGTAAATCTGGTGGGAACACTTCCTCCGCGGTGCTGTGGGCCCACACGGCAGCCCTCTGGGGGCCACAGCGCCAGGCCGTCCTGCCGTTAGTGATGGGTCTGACCGCTGGGGTCCGTGACGGCCACCACATCTCTCTGATGTAGAGATTCTTACCTCCTTCCCGTGCGCCTGGACAGCCAGCGAGTTTATCTGCCGCCAGGCATCCCGTACCCTGACCGCTGCCGCCTGTGGTGTTCATGTCCGCTGGGGGCTTCGCCCCGTCCTGCACGTCGGTAGTCCTGGTGAAGCACGCTGTCTTGTGCTGTTGCCCGGCTGGCCCTCGTCTTCAAAGACGGGGGTTCTCTGTTGCTCTCTTTTCAGTATTGCTAGGAGTTCAGCTTTTGTACTTTGTGTATTATCAATTCAGTCTTCATCCTTTTATGCCGAAATTATCCCAGATTTGACCCGGGGGAAGGCATGGAGGAGGCTCCCTTGACTGGTTCCTGCGTCCCAGGGAAATGCCCCGTGTGCATCCTTGCTTTCCGCCCTGTTTCCCTTTGCCTCTGGCCCCAAAGCTGCCACTTCTCCAAGGAGCTTTGCTGCCTTTGCGAGGACATGGAGTTTTGAGCCAAGGTCTGGGCATTTGGTGTGTTTGCTGCCGCTGGAGTGACATTGCTTCCAGGCCCCTTCAGGGGACAGAGCTGGAGGACGAGATGGACCCCCACGCGCGAAGTTGTCAGCCGCTGGAGTTCACTGTGAGCTATCCAGTCTTCCACGGCGGGACTGGCTTGTTCTAGCTCTTTTCCTCTTTTACAAAAAATCTTGTTTCCTTACAACAGCATATCAGCTTTGTGCTTTATCTTAAAATCGACATGTTGTAAAATTTAATACCAATATTCCTATTAACAGTAGAGTAATTGTATTGAGTAAAGTTAAGGTTTTCTAGCAATTCTGGTTTTAATAACAGCTTTACTGAGACATAACTCACATATGGAGGCTTCACCCTGTACAGTGTATTATTCAGTGGTTTTTAGCATCTTCACAGAGTTGGGCACCTGTCCCAGCCACCTACTTGACACGCTCCCCGAGCCACACGGAAACCACGCGCCCGTGAAGCACTCACTCCCCTCCCCCCTCAGCCCCCAGCGTCCCCTGGTCTTTCTGTCTCTGTGGACTTGCTGGTGCTGGGCTTGCGTTTCCTGTCGCTCTCAGCCTCTGGCACGGGGGTCACGCGGCTGGGCACACGCCCGCACAGAGTGTAATTATTTGCTGGGTGGCGTCCCCCTTAGCTGCACAGCAGGCTCGTTTGTCAAATTTGTTTCCAGTTGGAGGGCATCTCTTTCCCCTTTCCCTTTCCCTCTATTTTCTGAGAGCATGAAGTGTTGTCCGAGTTCAGCAGGGAGCACTGAACCGAGGGCCCAGGACGCCATCCCCAGTGCGCCTCTGCCGTGTGGCTTGTCCCCAGGTCACCTTCCCAGAGTTCGCTGTGACAGAAGGAAGCCGTCTGTGTAGGAGTCCTGATTTTCTCCTCCTCATGCGGTGCACCGTGTGTCCTGGAGTGCACCTTGCTTCTCCCCCTTCACAACAAGTGGTTTTAGAAGGAGTGGGCTTCCCCCAGGAAGTGTGCAGGCTGCAGACAAGGCCGGGGAGCCGCGGGGCATGAGGAGCCCTCCTCCTCCCCGGCCACGCTCCCCGGCTGCCCGTGTTCTCTCCCAGAGCAACTGTCACCAGCTTCTTGGCACAGTGCACGTGTGTAAATACATTTCTCCGTTTTTTCTTTCCACCCAAGTGGTCGAACTGTTTTGCACTTGCTTTATTCACTTAATGAATCTTTTGGGTCAGTTTCTTCCATATGGAGTTAATTCTTCAGAATGGCTTGGTTGTCCGTTGCATCTTAATTAATTTAAACAGTGTCCTGTTGATGGTCATTTAAATTGTGTCAAACTGTCTACTAGAGGGTGTGCATTTTATTTTATTTTATTTTTTTTTAAAGATTTTATTTATTTGTGAGAGAGAGAATGAGAGAGAGCACATGAGAGGGGGGAGGGTCAGAGGGAGAAGCAGACTCCCTGCCGAGCAGGGAGCCCGATGCGGGACTCGATCCAGGGACCCCGGGATCATGACCTGAGCCGAAGGCAGTTGCCTAACCAACTGAGCCACCCAGGCGCCCAGGGGTGTGCATTTTAAATGTTCATAGATGTTACAGCGCCTGCATTGCTTTTCACGAGCACTTGGGGGCCCATGGGGTGCTGCTGTACCATGATTAGTGTAGTATGAAGGCCGTCAGAGGATGTGTGCATGCAGAGTGTTCTGGACAAAGCCTCTGGTAGCATAGCAGGTGTGCTCGACGTTCCCACCGGCAGGGAATGAACGTGTCCATTTCCCTTATCCACATGAACTCCGTACAGTCTTAATCTGGTTAACGTTTTCCTTGTTAACTTGGTGAAAATTGACAGCTAGATTTTAAATTTCCATTTCTCTGTTTATTATGGTGCATTTGAGCGTGTGTACTTACTGTCTCGTTACTTTGTATTTTGGCCAGTCTGCAACTTGGCCTTGCGGGCAGTCCCTGGGGATGCTCAGCCATGTCTGTCATGGAAAAAACACGTGTCAGTTTCCCAGTTTCTAGCAGGAGGTTTTCCCGCCAGTCCTCATTATTTGGGAGACCATGGACAGGCTTTTAGAATGGTCTGCAGGAAAACTTGATTCTGCTTGACAGACTGGAGTCCGCGTGGGGAAAGCTCAACCATTACAGTTCAGATAACAGCTCAAAACGGGCCTTTTCTAACCTCTAGGTTGTGATTTGGGACCCGTTACCTTACTGTCAAAGTCTTAGTTTTTCCTTCTGAACATGACCTAGCAGCGCCCACTCTGAGGGCCCCCGAGCACGTGAAGTGAGGCAAAGGGCCGAGTCTGTGGTCAGTCCGCCTGCCCCGGGCGCTGGGGGAAGGGCCGTGTGCGTTAGGGGGGGTTGCACCCAGCTTCCTGCTGGCCTGCGCCCCCGTAGCTCACTGTCTGAGCGTTCGCCGCCCCCTGGCCTCCCAGCACACAGGCCAGGTGACATTTCGCCTGTCCAGGAGCTGTGGTCATGCTGTGCGTGGAGGCTGAGCAGTGGGAGGAATAGGGTAAAGTGTGACCTCCACAAAGACCAGCAACAGGGAGGGCGACCCAGGTATTCAGGGCAATGAGGTTCGGGAAGGTACAGCGCTTCCCCCCTCCCTTATCTTTCCCAGCTTCACTGAGGTATGATTGACAGGTGCAACTGTGTGTATTTAGAGTGTACAACATGATTTGATACGCATGCATGTGGTGAACTGTTTGCACATAGGTTAGTTAACACACGAGAACACTTACGATCTCCTGCGTGCAAGTTTCAAGTACCCGACACAGTGTTACTAATTACGGCCGCTGTGCTGTCCGTTAGAGGCCCAGAGCTGCTTCATCATAGAGCTCAGAATCTGTACCCTTCGACCAGCATCTCCCCATCTTCCCCAGCCCGAGCCCCCGGCAAGCACCATTCTACTCTGTTTCTGTGAGCGCGACTTTTTTTTTTCTTCCACACATGGGTGGATCCTACAGTATTTGTCTTTCTCTTTTTATTTACTTAACATAATGTCTTCCAGGTTCATCCATTTGTCACAAATGGCAGATTTTTTTTTTGACGACTGAATAATACTTCATTGTACGTACATGTGTCTGTATCACATTTGTCTAATCCATTCGTCCATTCACAGACACTTAGGTTGCTTCCGTATCTTGGCTGTTGTGAACAGTGATGCAGTAAACATGGGGGTGCAGATACCTCTTCGAGATACGGATTTTGTTTCCTTCAGGTAATTATCCAGAAATGGAATTCCTGGGTCGTAGGGAAGCTCTATTTTTTTTTTTTTAAGATTTTATTTATTTGACAGAGAGACAGTGAGAGAAGGAACACAACAGGGGGAATGGGAGAGGGACAAGCAGGCTTCCCGCGGAGCAGGGAGCCCTATGTAGGGCTTGATCCCAGGACCCCGGGATCATGACCTGAGCCGAAGGCAGACACTTAACGACTGAACCACCCAGGCGCCCCGGGAAGCTCTATTTTTAACTTTCTGAGGACCCTCCATACTGTTTTCCAGAGTGGCCACGCCGGTTTGCATTCCCACCAGCCGTGCACGAGGGTTCCCCTTTCTCCGCATCCTCACCAACACCTGTTGTTTCTTCTGTTTTTGATTCTAGCCATTCTGACAGGTGTGAGGTGGTATCTCATCATGGTTTTGATTTGCATTTCCCTGATGATGAGTGATGGTGGGCATCAGTATGTCTTCCCTGGAGAAATGTCTGTTCATGTCTTCTGCCCATTTTTGAATCAGGCTGTCTTGTGCTGTTGAGCTGTAGGAGTTCTTTATGTATTTTGGGTACTCACCTCTTATCAGATACATAGTCTGCGAATGCTTTCTCTGGGTCCGTAGCCCACCTTTCCGTTTTGTTGGATGTCACCCTGTGTACACCCAGAACCAGCGGCCAGCAGTCAAGATAAACCCAGTGCTCGGCAAGTGGTAACAGGACAGTAGTTGGATGTGGTTGTCCTTTCATTCTGTTATTATCAGCAGTTGGCTCCCAGGGACCAAATGCTGTAGAAACACTAGATCACAGATTTCTCCTTGTGGTACTGTAACTCCTTCACGGGAGCCCCCCACGGTGGTGAGAAGAAACATCTTGTCCTGTTGCTGGGCTGTGGAGAACTAGTACCTTAGATTTCTGAATACACATTGAGGTTAATCTGAATGAGTACATATTCTGACTGGGAGGAAAAACCCTTTAAAATAAAACCCTAGGGGCGCCTGGGTGGCTCAGTCGTTAAGCATCTGCCTTCGGCTCAGGTCATGATCCCAGGGTCCTGGGATCGAGCCCCGCATAGGGCTCCCTGCTCGGCCAGGAGCCTGCTTCTCCTTCTCCCACTCCCCCTGCTTGTGTTCCCTCTCTCGTGGTGTCTCTGTCAAATAAATAAAATCTTTAAAAAAATAAATAAATAATTAAAAAATAAAACCCTAAAATCCTTTTAGGATTTTAAATGGAGTTTAAATGGAGTGAAATAGGGTTTAGGAGTGAAATAGAGAATGTAGCCACCCAGAAAATACTAAAATGGAAGAGAGATTCTCTTTTTTAGAAAGATCAGAGTGCTTCAGTGGACAGAAAACAGCCATACCACTTTAAATTTTTTAACCGAATGCACAAATACGAGCAGAAAGGCAATAGAGAAGGAAAAGGTGTCCAGTTCAAAGAAAGCACAGGTTTGGAGAACGTGGCGCGGTATCTGTTTCTCTGGCGGATGAGCGGTCTACAGCCGACCTGTGAGAGGCACCGCTCAGCCTTGCTGGAAACAGCTCCCCACTGACTCCGGACTCCTACACACCAAACATCTGGCAAAAACTTATGAAAAAAGCAACACGAGCAAAACAGCAATTGAAAAAACCAAACAGCACAGGAAAGGAGGTGTGGCGGTTGGGGACTGGTCCCCTGATACGTGCTTGCAGGAAAGCAACTTGTAACAAGCTATAAAGCAGCTGAGTCTGCGCTTCCCCGAAGGAATTCTAAAGAAACTATTCGGACGTACGGGAAAAAGGCAAAGAGGGTGGCCGGAAGGCCCTGTGCGTGCTGGTGAGCGGCCGTCCACGTGCCCCTGCGTTCCAGGCGTAAACCCAGACCAGCACTCAGGTCCAGCGGAGCAGAGCCGCACCCGGAAGCCATGGCCCCCAGGTCCTGCTGCACGGCGTGGCCCAGGCACAGGAAGCCTGTGCACGTAACTGCTCAGAGAAGCACCATTCGTGGGCCTGAGAACTGGGAGGACCTCAGAAGTACCACAGTGGGGAAGTGAACTAGCAAGTAAGACCCAAGGAGGACTAAGCACAGACAGCAGCACAGAGCTGCGAGCTGGGATGGAGCCCCCGGGACTGCGGGGACAGGTTTTCCGTTCTCTGAGCCTCGTCTCTGACACCGGGGTAGGGGACACGCTGTTCGAACATGTTAGACCCTAGCCGTCTGTGAGCGATGAGGTCTGCTACAGGGTTCGTGTTCTGTCTGCTTACACTGTTTGTGGTGTAGTAACTACACTGCATTTGAAGTGTGTCTGCTCGTCCTTCCCCAGGAAGGCTGTCAGCGCACCTGCTCCCAGGGGGCCACCTGCCGGTCCTGGTGCGGGGTCCGGGCCACGGTGTCCTCCAGCTGTCACCCGCTGGGTCACTGTTGCTGAGGGAGGCCAGAAGTAACTGCTAGACACGGAGCGGGTTCACAGGAGAAGGGCTGAGAACGTCCTTTTGCTCACAGAGAATCCACGACAAAGGGACAGGATGGTTTCGGGTTTTGACCTAAACTCCACGTTGTCAGATGGTCCTGCTGGAGCTGGCTTGTCCTCGGTGCCGCCGTGGGCCGTGTCCAAGCCCGTCCCTGGCAGGCCGAGCAGTGCCCCGCGGAGGCCGTCTGTCCCCCTTCCCCCCTCACCCCGGAAGGTCACTGAGCGCGTCTTGCTGCAGCCACCACATGGAAATTTGTTGAGTTTCATGCTGTTTGAACAACTTCTGCCAGGTTTCCCTGGTTATTCCTCCTCATAGAGAAGGGATACGCTTCTTTGCGTAGACGTTCGGGAAGTCATCCATTCAAGGACAGGTTCTCACTGATGTTTAATCAGAGGTGGTGGTGTGTTCTTCAAGAAACCTGAGCTTGGGGCCTGCTTCATCTTAGCGCTGACACAGGCCCAGGAGCTGGGCACCCCCCCCGCACCCTTCCCTCGCTTGGCCACTGCGTCGTGGGAGGGGGCTCCCGAGGACAACAGCGCAGACTCCCTGCATCAGCGCAGAGCCAGGTTTGCCCCCAGCCAGCCTTTCCCACAGACACTGACTGAACAGGGAAGACCCTGTGGGAACGTGGGGTGGGGGTGCGCTAATAGTCTGGAAACAAAACAAAGCTTTTCGTAAAAATTCCTGATGGCTTGATATGCCAGATCAGCTCACGCAGTTGTCGTACGTACTCTGATTTCCCATTTCTCCCTGATCTCTCCCTGTTAGGACTTTCTGAAGATGTTTTCCCCTGATGTCTTCCGGCTCTTCTGCATGCGGAGCAGCTACAGGTCAGGTGAGCGAGACGTGAGGCCCGTGCGCACTCAGGCGGCTCAGGGAAGAGCCCTCTGACAGCGCTTGGGGAATGGCTGAACACGGGCTAATGCCTGAAAGGAAGCCGGAGGATGCACTATTAGGAAGCATAATCCCAGCTCCCAGCCAGAAGGTTCCAGAAGCTTGTCTCTTGGAGGCCATGGGTTTTCCAGTTGGGCCCCAGCTCTCCTCTGTGTGGGTCTGGACGCGGGGCCCGGGTGGAGGGCATGTTCTCAACATGCTGTAAAGCACTGAGTTTGAGAGCCTGTCGTCGCTCCCTGTGCTGGAATACAGAGCCCTAAGTCCCCACCGTTGGCTGGTCTCCCAAGAGGTGGTGTAGGGCCCAGGGGTCTCTCCCGCCTCCCAGAGTCACCTGTCTCAGCAGGAGTGAACCCCTTGGCCAAAGCATATTGGGAATGGTGCTGAGGCCCGGGTCAGGATAGACCCTCATGATCCGAGTGGGGCGGGGGAGCAGGTGTCCTGCGTCCGCTGCTTGGCTTCTGGCTGAGAAGCGCCAGGCCTGCAGAGTGCCTCCCGCGTCCCCTCCACAGCCATCGACTACAGTGACGGCACCATGCTCGAGGCCAAGCACCTCCTCCTGACAGCGGCCGCGTTTGTGGAGGACGCCCGGGCCTACATGAAGGGGCAGCTGGTATGCGGCCCCATCAGGGACGATGTGCTGTGGGAGAGGTAGGTACCCTCCCAGCATCCACCCGAGGGTCGCGGGCGCCAGACGTGGGGCTGCCTGAGACGGGAGAGGCTTTTGGAGGCTGAAGTCCCCCGGGGCTGCTGGTGCAGGAGGTGCCTCGGGCGAGTCGGTGGTCCTGTTGGGGAGAGACGAGGATGCCCTGTGTGCGGGGTGGCTGTGAGGGGCGGGGGGTCACACCCGTGCCTGGACAGGCGCTCACTGGCGTTTGTCGGTGAGCGATGCAGAGGCTCTGGTCACCTTGCTCCACGGGTAGGAGCCCAATCCTTCCCCATGCCTGGAAATCGGGGAGTCTGCAGGAAGTGGGGTGAAGACCAGTGATGGTGGGCAGTGGGGAGCTAGTCTTGGAGACAAAGCTTCAGTGTCTGAAGCAGCAGGCGTGCAGGAGGGAGGACTGAGGGGACCGGAGTGTCCTTGCCATGGCTGGGGAAGGAAAGGAGGTGGGGAGAGCGTGCTGGCGGGCGGGGGGCGAGGCTCCAGCAGCAGAGGGAAGGACGTGGAGAGGCCGCAGCCCGGTGCGGGAAGCAGAACACACTCAGAGCCCGATGGGGGCCGTGTCCTAGGCCTGACGTGGCCCCAGGGTCCCCGGACCCCGCGCCCGGCAGGCCCGCTGCTCAGAGGCTCAGGCTGTCCGCGCGCAGGTGCAGCTCACACGGGGGTGGGGGCGGGGCATGAGCGGCCACCCTCCCCCTCAGGGAGGCCGGGCCGTCGTCCTGGGAGCAGGTGTCCTGCCTACGTGCTCCTGGGGAGGGGCCACATCGTGGTGCGTAATGCAGACAGCTGACCACGCCGCATGCTGTCGTGTGACCCTTACTTCTCAGCGCTGCACCTGGAACCCGCTGCAGGTGCACAGGGTGTGCTCAGACCCGGGGTTAGGGGCGTCCCCTGGACTCGGGGGTGCGGGACGCTGCCGCGCTGATCTTACCCCGTCAGGACTGTCAGCGGGTGTGAGGCCGGCCTAGGAGGGCGGGGGGTGAACTCACAGTCACTTCTGTGCTGGGGGGCCGGGCCGGGCCGGTCCAGGGGCTGAGGAGCACCGTGTCTCTCCCAGGCTCCGCCATGCCCAGCAGGCCGTGAAGGCCGCCCTGGCGGACGACTTCGACACGCCCGCGGCGGTGGACGCCGTCATGGACCTCATCCACCACGGGAACAGACAGCTGACGGCGCCCGCTGAGGTGCGTCCCCCTACAGAGGGGCTGTAGGCCGGGTGGTGTGGTGGGGGCTCCCTCCTCGGGACGGCACAGCCGCCGCCCTGCCAGCTCCCTGCGGTGGCCTCCGGGCCCCCCCCACCTCCCCCAGAGCAGGGAGGTCCTGCACACGGACAGGCGGCATCCGCCCGTTTGCTCAGGGGACTCTGTGGAAGCTGAGCTTGCTGGCACGTGAAGTAGGACTTGGGGGGAAGCCGTGGGTGGACCCCACTGCCCACGCAGCCCGGCCCTGCTCTGGGCTTGGCGCCAGTCCTGTTGACGGGTCTCCGTGCGTGCGCCAGTGACCTCCCAGAGACCCGCCCGCGACACCGTCGCACGGGGGGTCAGGTGTCAGCATCTGGATCTGGGGGACACCAGCACGCAGGCCCTAGCAGATCGCCGTCCCACAGATGGGCAGACAGAGGCGCAGGCTTCCGTGGCGTGCCAGTGAGGGCCCCGCCAGGGCCGTCCCTGCCCAGCGACGGGAGCAGCGACCGGCTGCGTCCATGTCTTTTTCGTTTCCTTGGCTCCTCACGCACCTCCTCTGGGTGATCTGTCACAGGAACCCGGCGGTCCCAGGAGTCCTGCCGTGTTTGGCTCCATCGTGTCCTACGTCGAACAGTTCTTCGAGACCGTCGGGATTTCTCTGGCGGACAGACAGGTACGCCCTGCCCTTCTCAGTCCTCGCCTGGGGGAGGGCGCCTCTGTGTAGTCCCCACTGTCTCCTCCCCTTTTATGTTCATTTTAATGGACAATTTCTTGAATTTATTTACGTGCCTAAAATACGTTCCTGAAAAAGCAAACAGGCTCAGAGCTAGTGTCTTATTATCTGACGCGGGATTCCGAGCAGAACCCGTGGCCCCACTTGGCTGCAGACCACGTGCTCTCCGTCTGCACACGTTCTTTTCCCTTGTCTCTTCTGAGACTCAGAGTGCAGCTGGGTGCACAGTAGGACACTTTCAGGCCGAGCCCCTCGCTGTCTCCTGTGGCGGGGTCTGGGCCATCCCCCCACTCCCCGGCCAGCCTCCCGCACGACGCCCCTCCTCTCCCCGGGGCCCCGCTCCTCCCCAGCACCCTCCCCACCCTGCTCCACTGTGAGGCCCCTTCTAGACACTTGGTGAGCAGGTCGTAAACATGGAAAGGTCTGGGCTCCATCATCCGTGTGCTGGGACCACTCACTCTTCCCAGATGGTGCTGTGGAGGCTGCGTGGTGCCTGGCCCTTGTCAGAAACTGCTCGCTCACCTCCCCCTCCTCGACGGCAGACACTGGATCCCGCTTTGGGCTCATGTCTTTGTGACCATAAACACGGTCCTTTATCATGGAAGCAGTAACCAAGGATTCTGTAGGTTTGAGAAGCCTGACCCCGAGTTGTAGGATGTGTTGTTTCTACAGACAGGCACTAGGATCCCCTCCCTGTAAGGAAGGAGAAGTCGTGTAGGTCGCAGAGGGCCTGATCCACTGAGCCCTCCGGCTGGCCGTGGAGACGGTCAGTCTGTGAACAGGCAGTGAGAGCGTTCGTGTGTGCGAACTACACGCGAGGCGGACGTTGCTTTCCGTGTTTGGTCAGAGAACAGACTCGGTTTCAGGAGTCAGCATTGGCTTGCGCTCCCAGACTCTGCCTAGGGAGCCGGCTGATAAAGACCCCACCTGAGACGGTAGCGCGTCTGTGGGATGGGAGGAGGGCTGTCCAGCCAGGTCAGCCTCATGGAGACTGCTCCCGAGGACGCGGACAGGGGAGCCCTGGGTCTGCACCTGCCGGCGGCGTTGGGGAGCTCTGCCTGGTGACCAGGACGTGCAGGCCAGGAGAGCCCTGGGGAGGACGTGCGCTGGGTCAGCTTGGCACCGAGCCCCCCCCTCCCCCGTGCCCCCTCCCAGCTGGGCCCCACCGTTGGGCAGCTACCAGGGCCCTGCTGACGGCGCCGCTCTGCCTGGTGTAGTCTGTTTCAGGGGACGGCAGCCGGGCCACTCTGCACAGCGTGGTGGAACAGCTGGTCCAGTTCCGGCTGCAGGTCCGGCAGTTCGCCCTGGCCACAGGAGCGGCCACCAGGGAGGGCCGACGGCAGCAGCTGCTGGACACACAGCCCCTGCTGGAGGCGTGTGACGCTCTGCGCCGGGACCTCGTCGCCCACGGCATCAGCATCAAGGTGAGCCGCTGGGCACCGTCACCCCGACATACTGTGCAAACCGGGCGGCGGCGCACAAACGTGGACCGGGCAGAGCCCGGACGTCCCGAGCCCCCGACCCCAGTGCCGTCAGGAGGGCCGTGTGGAGGCACCAGGCGGGCACCGAGCCCTGACTGGCCCGCTTTCCCCTGGTGCTTCCTCCCCAGGACAGGAGCAGCACATCCACGTGGGAGCTGCTGGATCAGAGGACAGGAGGCCCCAGACCGGGGAGCTGACGGCCCCCAGCACCATCCTGTGCTTACAGGAAAGTTTCCCGTTGTGGCTGCTCAGTCACCATTAAAGTCAATCCAACCGATACCATGCGCCTGAGAAGTGGATTCTTCACGGGCCAACACTGGTCCTGATGCTGGCCCCTGGGCCCCGGGCTGCCGTCACGGGAGGACCGTGAGCCCTGGGCGGAGGATGTAAGTCCTACAGGGGGTCCGGGGCAGTGCCGAACTAGGGACGAGGACCCCAAGCAGGGCAGCCCTCCCCCACAGAGGGGAGGTGGTCTTCCTACATTTATTTCTGTTACAAAAGTAATGTGTCCACCATAGAAAACCACCGTGTGGTGGACGCACCAGTGAGAGCAAGACCCAGGTGTGAGCACAGACTACAGAGCAGGGGGCAGAACTGGTGCCCACACCGCGCAGCCCACACCCGCTCTCCGTCCCCGGCCAGGCTGCCCTAGGTCCGGCACTGTCGGCGGGCACGCCCTGCGGGCGCAGCGGCCGGGTGCACGCTGGGCACGCTCCCCAGCCGCATCCCGTGGTCACCCACCTTCAGGACCCCAAAAGGCACTGGTGTCCCAGTCTACAGGCAAGGAAACCCGCTCAGAAATGGACCTGCCGACAGTGACCCAGCTCGCGCAAAGATCCCACCTGGCAGGTAGGCCCTTGATGAGGACACCCAAACCGGGTCCCTTCAGTACAGGGGGATTACTGTCCCCTGATGGCCAGATGCCGAACCTGGCCACCCCAGCGTACTTCCGTGTTCTGTGATCTTGGTCTCAGGGTAAAAGCATGTCCTTAGCTGGAGCTAGTGGGTCCATACGGGTTACTGTTAAATCTGCCACTGGCTACTTGAATGTACTCCTCATTCCCATTTGAGAGGATCTGTACTCAGATCGAAAACATAAAAATAGTTCTGTGACTCCTGAATTTTACCTTCTGTGGACCGAAAGGACCACGACTACATTGTAACAAGGTGGGTAGGCACTGGTGAGAACTGTAACTGACAAACAGGCTGTTACTTGTTTATCTTGCTGCTGACAGGAAAGCTGAAAGGTGGGTTTGGGCTCTGTAAGAAAAAAATAGAAAACTCCACACTGAAATAAACCAGATTTGCCTTTTAATGGTTACCAGGATTTAGATGTAATTTCCCAAAAGAAAAAACAGTGACGCTTCTCAATTACATATGAAACAAGAGAGCAAACATTTTAAGAAATCTGGTTTTAAAGTAGGATCAGGTGGGGGCGGGGGGTCTGAATCACGGAGCATCAGCCAAGAGGGACATAAAGGATCCACACGGGTCCGGTCCTTTTAGAAAGCATCGTGAAACCTACAGAAGTACTCACAGGTGCAGGAACCAACCCTAGGGAGAAAGACACCGGAGAAGCAGCTCTCTGGCCGCAGAGAAAACCATCCACCCAAAGCACCATGCAGAAGCCAAACCAGAGGCTAACAGGGCATCTCGCAGACAGAACTTCTTTAACGGAATCTATTCCTGAGGACACACCCGCTTTCAATGACGATGTTCAGTCCCCCCACCCGGGTGCCCTCCAAATGTCCAGCTTTGTCTGCCTCCTCCCGAGAGCACACGGATGCGCCACATCCCAAACGAGGGCTCCGCGACTCCCCTGGGCGTGCTTCCTGCCACCACGGACTTGGGTGTGTGCATGAGGAGGAGGAGAGGGCAGAGCCGCGGGTATCCCAGAGCCCCCCCCCACCCGCGTGCTCTGGGCTCATCCTCCAAAAAACCAATCACTGATTGTTCTGAAATATTTCAGTTAAGCACAACCACCAATGCTTACTATTTCTGCCCAATTTCAACCTAATCAGTGTTCAAAATAGCTATAAGAGGCTTTTTAAACAGGATTGACGGGATCCCTGTGAGGGGAAGCACATGGGTAGGGAGGAGGAGAGGGACGAACGAGCCCAGAGGGCCTGTGATCCTGGAGCGCACAAAGCTCAGCGGCTCGTTTCCTGCTGAGCAGCTAAGAAAAGTTCAGGGATATTTGGTATGGTGTCACTGTAACATCTCCAGGTCCACATGTAGCCCAAAACCCACCCATAGACCACACTGCTCTGCTACCCCAAGGACTGGGACACAGCATGTGGGTTCCTAGACAAACGCAGCCTCCCCGTCCGCGTCCTGCTCGCTTCCCGGTGCCTCGGCTCAGGTTTCAAAGAGTCTGTGGAAAGCAGGCCCGACCTCCGCGATCATGTCAGTGGTGGTGGTGGAGCGGCCGTGCTTCTGGAAGGCCTGGTGGCTGCACTGCCTCGTGAGAGAGCACGCGCCCATGGCAGCCAGGAGGAGAGGGCTGGACCTGGAGGGGGATGAGCGTCAGATGGCAGGCCCCCCCACTGGTTGAGGTTTATAGTGATCTGCAGCCCCAGAGAGGAGTACCGAAGACCTGAGAGCGTGGGTTCCCGCCACCCTCACCAGATGCGCACGGGGCTCTGTTTCCACGTGTACACACGCCGGGCAGGTGCTCCCTGCCTCCCGGTGTGCCACCACCCCATGGCCTCGCATGGCTTCACAGGTGGGGGGGGGGGGCTCCAGACCAAGGACACCCCGCCCCAGCGCAGGTGGCCACCACTGTCCCACGATAGGTGTAGAAGACAGGAGCCCACAGAGCAAGAGCACCCCTGCCCTGGGATCGCTTCCACGGGACACCGATGTTTCACGAGGCTACGTGTTAAACGTATGGGCAACCTGAATGGCTCACGTGGTTCAAAACTCTCGGGCAGGGGGCGGGGGGGGCGGCAAGCGAAGATGTCACGTACCCGTTTGTCTTCTCGGGTCCGGCGAGCAGCGCCCAGTGCACCAGGACGCCCAGGGCGCCCGACAGCAGGTCTCCCTGGCCACCACACCTGCGGCTGCTGCCCTCCTGCGCACACTCGAGCACTGCGGGGCAAGAGGGGCACAGCCGTCGGACGAGCTCGCCTGTGCCCGACAGTACCCAGGCGGCCCGGTTTACAGGAGAGCAGGCCCAGCCCGGCCCAGAAGCACCTGCCTGTGCAGCGCAAGCGGTGAGCAGACCAGTCCCACTCGGGCCCGCCGGAGCAGATGGGGAGAGGCGCGCAGGTACCCGGGGTCCTCGGGCCGCAGGCCCCTGGAGCCTGGGCTGCCCACAGCTCCTCGGGAACACGCGCCATCTTCAAGGAGGTGCATGCCCTGCGCAGACCCAGCCGGCGGCCGCTCATCCTTCTATGCCATGTAACCAGCAGCCACTTCGGGAAGCGTGGGGTCATATCCCCTCAATGTGTCAGAGTCTAGAGCACTTTCCAACAACATGAACCCCAAAGGTTTCCGGGTCGCTCAGAGAGCACTCCCTCGGTGTCTCCTGTCGTCCAGGGGGTGCGTGCGAGCGAGCCTCCCGCTCCCCGGTCAGCGGGCCTACAGCACAACAGCAATTCTGTATGACGTCCTATCACGACAAGTGCGCTCCCTGCCTCCTGCTCAGACTACATGAGGAGAGGGCCTGGCTGCGGGGCACTAGGGAGGCTCGACACCTCACGGTCACGGACACCCACCCTAAGCCCCCCCTGCTGTTCCCACTGGACAGCAGGCAGGCCTTGGGGAGAGCACGAGGCGGAAGCTGCCACGCATCCAGCGCCTGGCAACCCCTCCACCCGCAGCAGCTCCCAGCTCCCTCATTTCCAGCCCTTCTTAAAGCAGAACAAGATGCATGGAGTATTCTGGTAACTGCCTCTCCGGCACTGGCAGGCGGGCCGGGAGCCCTGGAGCGCCACCTGCCAGTAGGACCGCAAGCCTGCCACACGGCTTCCTCCAGATGGCGACAGAACTAGCCGCCGCACCGGACATCAACAAGGATGAACGCTCGGCGTGCTCCCCGCCCTTTGCAAAACTGAGAAGTAAAACCAAGCTCATCGGGAAGCCCCCGTGTGTGGAACATGGGTGACACAAAGGACCGCGTGTGCCGTGACTGTGGTCTTCCAGGGGCTGGTGTCCAGCGCCACCACACTGAGTGACATGCATGAAGCCCACGGCTACCCACCCTGTTCACCGTCCGAGATCACGTCCCGCTCCCCTTTCCGGACCACGGTGACATTCCCCAAGGCCTGACTGAGTCTCTGCACAGCTTCTCGATTGCTGCCGTCCCCAGGGTCTCTCAGCTGCAAGGTGGGACAGCACAGACCAGGCCGTTGTCAGACACATGAAAGGAGCCCACCATCACGGGTACGTCCTGCCTGTCTACCCTGACTCTTAGACACACGCACACGCACATACACACACACACTCTCCGCTGAGAACCCCAGCCCCACACATGGAAAGGCACAACGCATCCACTAGGGCGATGTAGGCCCAGAAGAGCTGGACAGCAAAGTCCTGGGGCGGATGCGCAAACACCGCTCACGTACCCTCCCCCTACCTTTGGGTCACAGTTAGGGAACCCTGCCCAAGGCTGGAGTTTCACAGGTTTGCAGAGGTGACAACTCTGAAGAATCACGCACTAACATCTATGGGACGCTTACTACGTAAGAACTCGGGGGTTTACATTCATCATCTCGTTTCGTCCTCAGACCCTACAAAGTGATGGCTCTCAGGACCCACAGTTCACAGGCGAGGCAACGCAGGACAGGGACGGAGTGCTCTACCCAGAGCCCAGCACCCTGCCTCTCCCCCAGTCAGAAATGTACGAGGGAGAAGATCCCCGTCATTCCATGCACCACCGAGAAAGAAGAGCACTGTTAGCATGTGGGAAACATGCATCTCCTCGCTGGCCATCTGCAAGTCCGCCTCTGCAGGGACAGCTGAGGAAGAAGCAGAGCCATCTCTCACCCCTCCTCAGAATGGGGAGGGCTTACGCCCCATCTTTTGGGTGGTCAGCAAACTCACCACAGCTTCAGAGAGTCTGTTGAATTCCACGTGGTTGGGAGTGAGAACGGCCTTCCGGTAGCCCTGGAGGAGGGCTGGGTGCCGAGCGATCAGCCACAGCCCGTCCTACAGACAAGGACAGGTACATAGAGCACAGCCTTAGGGGCCTGGCTGGGAGAAGGGGCAGGAGAGGAGTCACACTCACTGCATCGATGACGACGGGGATGTCCCTGGCCTTGGCTGCTTCTAAAATGCCCTGCAAGGAAAGAAAGATATGCTGAGCAACAAGGCCATCACCCCTCAGTGGAATTAAAAGACCAAGCAAGCAGTACCCTGATGAACTGCAACATCAGGTCATCAACAAACACACAGGAAATGATAAATGCATGCAATAAGCAGAAAAAGACCCAAATGAACAGACAGCAGCCCCCCTGTAAGGCAGGGGCCCTGGGAACTCTGGAAAGAGGGTCCATGGGAAGCCCAGTACACAGCGCTGGGCCAGGCGAGCCCATGGAGGCTGACCCCAAGCTAGAGGCTCCAAGGGTCCCCCCAACATTAATCCTCAGGGTTCCCAGATGGAAAATCTGAAGTCGGCAGAATTCTCCCAAATCGCGAGTTTTTATGCATTCTAACACTCGGTTTTAAAATAAGTGACAATAATAAAAGTGAATCACCTCTCTGAAAAAGCTATACTAAAGTCTGAGGTTTTTTGCCAAATTATCTATCTACGATCAACATGCATACGGTCGCTTATTATGAACCAGTGTTTTACAAGATGACACGTTGCAATAGCATGTGACAACCACCTCCCCCCGAAACACACACTTGAGAGTAGAAAACATCGAGGACGGTGAAGCAAGAACCCCACTCCAGGATGCCTGTGTCCTTACAAGAGGAGGAGACCAGCTCACAGACAACATGGAGACAACCGGATGGGGACACAGTGGGCAGGCAGCCGGCCATCTACCAGCCAAGGACAGAGGCCTCAGGAAGAAACCAAACCTGCTGACACTTTGCTCGTGGACATCCTCCAGGACTGGAAGAAAACCGACGTCTGCGGTTTAAGCTCCCGCCTGCGGTGTTCTGCCGAGGCAGCCCCAGCAGACGGAGACAGACGTCCGCCATCATTTCCAGGGCCCACCCCCCGCGGACACCACGGACTCCCTAGGAAGTGCCTTCTGGCCCCAAGAGTTCGGAGAAGCCAAGGAACCAGCAAATAAATACTGGACAAGGGAAGGCTGCTCTAATGGCCCTGAGTCCTCATCTTAAAGTGTTGACCTCTTTGTGAGACAGCTTCTGGCTGAGGCTCCAAGTGAGACGAGTCCACAGACAGCGACCGAGCGTCTAGGACATCACCAGGTCGCAGTTCTGGACCCCAGCGAAGCTGCTGGGACTGAAGGACATGGACTCACAGTCCAAAAGACTCAGAGTCGTGTGAACTTGAATAAAGTCACTTTACTTCTCTGAAACTCCATTTTCTGGTCTATAAAATGAGGGTAATGTCTCAAATAATATATATATATATTTTTTTAAAGATTTTAAGTGTCAGAGACAGCGCGCGCGCTCGTGAGCACTTAAGCAGGGGGAGTGGGAGAGGGAGAAGCAGGCTCCCCACCGAGCAGGGAGCCCGATGTGGGGCTCGATCCCAGCACCTGAGATCATGACCTGAGCCGAAGGCAGATGCTTAACCGACTGAGCCACCCAGGCGCCCCTCGTATAATACTTTGAAGTTTGTATGCGGATGAGAAATACCAACTCTAAAGAGGTACCCAGTTCTTGGCAAGGGAGCTGGCGGGCCACAAATGGCGGCTGCAGGGGAGGCCACCTGCCGGCATCACCACCGCCAACCTCACCTACGGGATGGACAGCAAAGGAGGGAAGCAGCCGCACCCCCACAGGTCAGAAGAGGCTGGGTGCCAGCAGAGCAGCGGCCCCGTGTGTCCGGCAGTAAGTCCAGCTACAGTCAATCAGGGGGCGCTCCCGCGTGGGACGGTGGCGCCCGGGGGGGGGACCCCGGAGCAGAGGCCCGGCAAGGGCAGCCCTGTGGGGGCGAGGGGGCTGCTGCAGCCACCACCACCTGGCCATACAGCTCCCAGACATTTATCCTGAAGGACACACCCAGAAGAGTTGGCAAATATAGGTGCAGATATGTTTGAGACATCACTACCACGTTAAGAAAAAGCTGTACACCACCTAACTGAATTAGTTAAATACTGTATATGGTGATACAGCTATTAAAAACACCGAGGACCAGGTACACAATCTATGCGGGAAAAACCTCCAGGACTTATTACACAGGAGCAAGCTACAAAGGAGCATGAAGAGCATGAAGGGAGTTTGTCAAGAGCCCACATACTAGATCCAGAAACTGCAGGTCAAAACCAGCGTATAACGTGGAGGACTGAGTACCGCCAGCAGCAGCAAGCCCTCCCCCCAGCTCATCTACATGTCCAGCATGTTCCCCGTCAGAATCCCCGCTGCCTCTTCCGGCCCTAAAACTCCTGTGGGCATCACGGGACCCCCAGCAGCCCAAATACTCTGGACGCGAACAATGCTGGTGGGATCACAGCCGCCGCCATCAGGACTGGGGGTCGCCGCACAGGGACAGCCATACAAATCCATGAAAAGAGACGAGAGCCCCAAAATACACCACTGCCTTTGTGTCCAGACTTTCAACAAGGCTGCCCAGATACCAGTGGAGCGATGCTGGAACGGAATATCCACTCCGTAGACCAGACATGAAAATTTACTCAAAATAGACCACAGATCTACATATAAGAGTTAAAACAAAGCTCTCAAAAGACAGGACTTGATCAGAATTAAAAATTCATGCTTAAAAAAAAAAAAGTGCAGCAAACAGGAGTTCCTCCAAATGTGAAGCGGGGTTATCACCGAAGTCTGTACATGAAGATTCGGAGCGGAACTGCTCACAACAGCCCAGAGCGGAAGCCACCCAATCGTCCTTCAGGTGATGGGTAACCGAACCGCGCTCCACCCGCACAAGGGAACACCCAACAGCAAGGAGAGGAGCGGAGCCCTGACCCACCCTGCGCACGCGAGCACCGAGATGCTGCTGAGTGAACACAGCTGGTCACGAGCACCGCGTCCTGTAAGACCGCGTCGCCCTGAAAGGTCAGGAATCGGCAAATCCACAGACCGCAGGTGGAGGAGTGGATGCCAGGCTCTGGGGAGTTTGAGAGGAAAAGGGAGCAGTTGCTGATACATGTGGGGTTTCTTTTTGGGAGGATGAGAATGTTCTAAAACTGATCATGGTAGTGGCTGGACAACTGTGAATGTACTTAGAAACCACGGAATTGGGGGCGCCTGGGTGGCTCAGTTGTTAAGCGTCTGCCTTCGGCTCAGGTCATGATTCCAGGGTCCTGGGATCGAGCCCTGCATCGGGATCCCTGCTTCTCCCTCTCCCTCTGCCCCTGCTTGTGTTCCCTCTCTGTCAAATAAATAAAATCTTTAAAAAAAAAAAAAAAGAAACCACAGAATTGGACGCTTTAAATGTGTGAATTGTGTGGCTGTAAAAACTCTGAAACTGAAATTAAGAACTCAGCAATTTACGACATGGCCACTTCAGGGGTGTAATTTAATTTCTCCAATTTAATTTCCTCATCAGAAAAAGGAGGATAATGGGGCGCCTGGGTGGCTCGGTCGTTAAGCGTCTGCCTTCGGCTCAGGTCATGATCTCAGGTGCTGGGATCGAGCCCCACATCGGGCTCCCTGCTCAGCAGGAAGCCTGCTTCTCTCTCTAGGCCCACTGCCCCTGCTTGTGCTCTGTGAAGTAAAATCTTTAAAAAAAAAAAAAAAAAGAGGATAAGGAGAGAAATCTAATAGGGCTGTTTTCAGGATTGCACCAGATAATGCATTTGTTCAGGAAACATCTACTAAAGTGTCTGCTATGGAGGAGGCAGCGAGCGGGAAGCAGACGGCGTCCGGGCTCCTTCCTTTGTAAAATGGGGAGAACACCAGCACCAACAGGAGGGCTTGGTGGGAATGGAGTGTAGCAACAGAAAGCACAAGGAAAACGCACCCAATGTGAGTACAAGTCACAGACTGTACCAAGCGCAATAACCCAGTAGAACATGAGAAGGAAAACAGAGCCGAGCGGATGAGGAAGGTGCACGGCCCGTCTCGGGTCCTCCGGCCAGGGCTGGGTGTGGCCCTGGCACGCGTATTTGTCCCAAGGGAGAAAAATACGAGGAATTCTGGTAAAATCCAAGCACGTTTTCGCACTCATTTAAACCGTTGTTTCAAAAATAAGTTCATTTCTCATCACTGATCTTAAGTTTTCTCTGCACATGAAATCCTCTGCTGGGCACCTGGGTGGCTCAGTTGGTTAAGCGACTGCCTTCGGCTCAGGTCATGATCCCGGAGTCCTGGGATCGAGTCTCACATCGGGCTCCCGGCTCAGCGGGGAGCCTGCTTCTCCCTCTGACCCTATCCCCTCTCATGCTGTTTCTCTCTCTCAAATAAATAAATAAAATCTTTAAAAAAAAAAAAAAAGAAATCCTCTGCTGAGGAATGAAGCGGCCAACACTCGGGGAGCTCAGGGAGACGTGGGTGAGGGTGAGGCGTCCATGCCCGGCGTGGCAGCTGCTCGGAGGTGGGCACGCCTAGGGGTCAGGTGGACGGCACAGAAAGCCACACTGCCACGGCAGAGCAGGCTCGGGGCCTGCAGCTCACCATGGAAGCCGAGAGGGCGTCTCAGTTTGCGGTTCTGTTCCAGAGACACCCTGACAAGTGGCTTCCTGATGCAAATCGCCATCAGACCATGCGGAGTCCGCTCGAGCTGCCGTGACAAATGCCACATGCTGGGTGGCTTGGAAAAACAAGGAATGCACTCCTCACAGTTCTGAAAGCTACAAGTCCAAGATGGGGGTGCCGGGGGAGGGTCTCCTACAGGTCACAGATCACTCACCGTGTTCTCACCTGGTGGAAGGGGAAGGGAGCTCTGGGGGCTCCTTTATAAGGGCATGAGTCCCATTCAGGAGGCTGCTCCACCCTCACGACCCAACCACCCCCCTCCAAGGCCTCACTTCCTGACACTTCACCTTGGGGGTGAGGCTTCCAACACGTGGATCTGGGGGGAACACGCGTTCAGGCCGCAGCGTGGTCACCAACAGCCTACACGAACAGCTCTCCTGAGGAAGCAGCAGCCGAACCCCGAGGCTGCTCCCACAGAAGTCAGACACGTCTACACCAACAGCACGTGGGTGTCTCCCAAGTACGTAAGCGAGAAACAGCAGCATGATGTGAGAATCGGGGACAACGAGCACGAGAGGAGGACAATGAGGCCAGAGAATGTCGTGAGCTGCACTCTGTCGTGACCAAGTGGGGCCAGAGGTTAACGGACAAGTCACAAAGGTCACGAAGCCCATCATGCCGATGGTCCTCCCCACCCTGGCAGGCGCCCTCACTGGCCTCTCTTCCCAGAGACAAACCACCGGGAGAGGCCATCACAGCCCCGCCAGCCGCGCAGGGCCGCCACATCCGGACACCGTGCACGGCAGACCCGTCTACACACGGGCTTCCCCACTCGGATCTGCCCCTCACCTCACGCGAACCAAAGGCTCTTGCGCCCCGCAGTTAGAGTCTACTCCTACTTCTCGGCAAGTGGTCGAGATCGACGACG